TACGTTAGTAGTTAGTTAGTAGTTAGTTAGTTAGTTAGTTACGTTCGTTACGTTCGTTGTTCGTTTCGTTCTTTCGTTTCGTTCGTTCTTCTCTTCTCTCTCTCTCTCTCTCTCTCTCTCTCTCTCTCTCTCTCTCTCTCTCTCTCTCTCTCTCTATCTATCCATCTATCTATCTATCTCTATTTCATGGAAAATGTCTTCTAAATTTTCTTGCTCCATTATTACATTTATGTGCATTGAGATTGTCTTCTTCCTTCCACTAGTCACTTCGCTTGCTTCAGTAGTCACTTCATTTCCTGGTTGATAATTGATACATGAAGTGTACTATGGCTTATGTGTAACCATTCAAATGCTACTGATAAAGGATGAGTTTTTTTTTGCTATGCATGCTAGAAAGTCAGAAGTCTACTGTTACTTCTCTATCTGGTTATCAATTATCTATGAATGTGATATCCACAGTCAGTGTGGGATAAGCATCTCTCTCTGAAGCCATAAATCTAGGTGCAAATGTGTCCTCACTCCTTAGTAATACTATCTCTCATTGTGTGTTGTCAAACAGAAATCGCAGTGTTGTCCTTCATTTCTTTTTATTTTTTAATTGGTTATTCCTTTGCATGTTCTTTGTGAAATTTCACAGGTTCCTTCTTCTATATGCATCTATTCTTGAATTAAACCGATTTTGGACCCATGTCCGATTAATCATTAGGGTTTTTATCTTCCGAACACACTTGTACTATACTATTGCATAGTTGTGCTGTTAATTTTACTAACATATTGTGTGAGGAATCATAATCCAAAGTAAAAGAGCCCCATGTATAGTCCAAGTTCCTACACATAGGTTGACTTTTAAGTCCTAGGATCCTATCTAGTATTCCCTAGAGGATGACTTCAAAGTATATACTCTATTGGCTCAACCAATATCCCTATTGTTCCCAAGTCCCAACCGACGAAGCTCCAGCCCCATCCATTTTCATTAAAAAAACCAAAGCTTCGAAACTCCATATGTACTCTCTCTCTATTTGAGAAAATAGTGTGTTTTCATTTTCTCTCTCTAATAAACCCAAAGAAGCTCAAGCTGTTAGATAATAAGCATGAAGAAGGCTTACTTATAGAATTTGTACTATTCACACAAAAAGACCATATGAACTCAATTTCATTACTCTACTTGTAGTTGTACTAAAACATAGTACATGTATATATAATGTTAGAAACTACTTGGGAGCTTTCTAGAATCTAGACTCGTTCTACACCATTCTAGTGAGGTTTTCCCTCTCATAACATACGACCTATATGTTTGGACGAAAATAAAATATTTTTCACTTTTATGCTTGGAGGAGATTACAAGATTATTACAGATAGTTCTAGACTTCACTCATTTCCAATTCAAAATTGCATGCATTGCATCCTTTGGAGTTTGGAATCTTGGGATTTGGACTCCTCCTTCCCAATCTAGGAATTGTTACATTGGAACTCTATACGACATTTTTACATCATTCACAAATTCATTAATTAAAGTGTCGGGTTAAAAACTTAAAAATATAAATTGAAGAGTACCACATATATTCCAAGTTCCGACATATGACTTGACTTATAACGCTTGTCTCATATGACATAGAAGATGGCTTTAAACTCTAGTGGCTCAACCTCTATCCCTATTATCCCCGTCCCACCTCCCTATGGGAAATGTCCTTCGTTTCCAAGGGTGTGGAAGTTTTGTTGAAGACGGTGGTCTTCTGTCGAAGGTTCGATCATCTTATGAAAGATATATTGTGGGTTTGATCTTATTATGAGAGCCTTAATGTTCGTCTTGACCTAGTATGCTCCACTCTTGAAGTTGTAAATGCCAGGCTTATGAAAATTGAAGATACTATCCAGCGTATTGCTCGTGACATTGAAGTGGTTGAAGATGGCCTTGAGGAGCTTCTCTCCTCGGTATACTAGTACTAGTTGGGTCTATGGTCATTGGTCGTAGTCCTACACTAGTTATTGCTGTTGGGTTATTTCTTTAGTATTTATTTTATGATGAGCTCTTCAGTTTACAAACATGTAATTGTCAGCAAGGATTTACATGAGACAATAAATGGGTACTCACCGCCCTCTCATACTCTATGCAATTTGAGGCCTGTACCGTAAACTATCCACTCTCTTATTCTCTTTTCTACTTTTGGTATTAAGTTTTATTAATGTTCTTAATTTCCTTTCCTTATATCTATGGTTTTTTAAATGTAATACTTTTCATTGGAATTATGGTATATTTAATTGCAAAGGTGGTGTGTTTCATTACAATTTTTATAATTTATTTGTTGATTCAACTTGTATCGTGGTATTTCGAAAACAAGAAAATTAGAACATGGTGATTCTTTTTTATATTTTTGCTATATATTAGAAGCTCTAAAAGAAGCACCATTACTATTGTTTTGCACTAAGTAACTTTGTTGTATGTTTGCCAAATTATTCATGATGTTATAATTGCCTATGTTTTATATTTTCTTTACATATTAATCATGATGTATCTTTTTTTAATATCAATAATTAATTGCTATATGATGTTATTTTTTATAATTGGTAAATGAATCATGGTGCTTCTTTTCTATATTTATGTTATATATTAGAAGCTCCAACCCCATCATTAGAATTAGTTATTTTGTAGGTAAAAAATGGATGGAGAACTGAGTGATGCTTCTTCTCAAGTATCCAATGCACCGCTTCATAATCTTGAAGCTTATGACCCTGATATACCACAATATATGGCACCCCTCCCTCCACCTCCAACTACCGAACATCAAGGAATCCCCCCCCATAATCGGAAATATTTTACAACGCACCTAATTTAGACTTCCCGCCGATATCTTTTAAAATAGGCTTCAGGAGATTTTAATGCGAGGTGGTGAACCCCTCCCCCAATACACAGTTCGTAGTTACAATCCTCCACGTGCTATGGTATTCCAAGTGACGGTAACTATATGCGGCCGCACATTCCAGGCTGAGGCCTCATGCACTAAAAATGATGCAGAGAAATCTGCAGCTCGTGAGGCCCTTGTTTTTATTAATCTCCTCCATACTTTGGCTGATACATTATTTGAGACCCTTAGAGAGAACGAGGGCCTCCGACAGCTTCAAGCCAAATGGTTAGCGCCCTAGATGCCTCGCGCTTAATTTCTGGGAGAGCTGAGAGAGAACTATTAGGCATTCAGAATGCCATGCAAGCTCTTTCACGAGAGTATGAACTGGTAGTGAATGTAAACATCCAACTAAGTACCCAGCTCGCAGCTTACCGAAATGAACCTCTCCCACCTCTTGATTTCAATTTGGAGGATCTCTAGCCCATTTAGATGCTGACAGCCTCGTCCCAATTTCCTTTTTATGCCTCTTTCCTTTTTTAGTGGCATATGGTGGCCTTAGGGTCTACCATAATCGGTATTGTTAAGTATCGTGGCGGCGCTCATCGATTTTTTTGAGATCCTTGGTGGAGGGTGGCAGGAGGGGAGGGGCTAGCCAATGCATGCAGCTATGGATCGAGGCTTGGAGCTTTCATGATCGTGGTCGTTGGTGGAGGGTACCGTCATCATACTTATTTTTTTATGTGCCCATGGGGCGAACGCTTCTACTCTTATCTTTTACATTCCTCTTACTGTAATTATTTGCACATTGTTGTGCATTTAATTTATCCTCTCACTCTTCTGTTTTTTGGGTTGATAATCTCTATGGT